AGAGAGAGAGAGAGAGAGAGAGAGAGAGATGGCATCATTTTATAAAGACGCTTCAATCGTTTGAGTGCATAGCCACTTGTCCTATATTCTGTCACACAACGATTACCTTGCACAAAATGTACCTAATTATACTTAAATAGTAGGATCCGTCTTAATGATTGTCAATAATACTGTACCTATTGTACCCGACACGGGCAAATTATGATATTAGGCTGTAAGGCTGTAAGACGTAACTACGATTAGATAGAGAATCCAGTCGCTAAAAAAAATTGTATAACTGTGATGTACCTGCTTCGAAGACAAACGATTTAAATTCTCTAACACGTAACGATTATTAATTTTTGTATGACTAAAATAATGTCATTGTGATGCCGATTGTTTTACGTATCTCCCTTTCCCTCTCTCCCTCGTATTGTTTCTTTATACTTTCTTATATTAAATTAAATTCAAGGAATAAATGCTATTTTTAAAAGAAATTGTTAATTATAATATTGCAATATATAATGCAAAATGAATTGATTTTGATATTTGAAAGTTTTTCTTTGCGATGTTATTTTTCTGAAAGAATAATTAAATATTATAATTAAATAAGTAATATTGATTTTAGAAAATACTAACATTGATTGTATAAAATATACTTAATAAGATTTTGATAAAAAATGTTAAAAAAAATATTTTCAACTAAAAAAAATATTTGTAATCTCATTTTAAGAAATTGGATACTAATTTTATTGCGATTAAATTCGAATAGTGTAACAGTATTTATTTTCATAATTGGTCCTTTTTTAGTTTTAAAAACTTGATTTTTTTATTTTTCTTCTTTTTCTCATTTTTCTATTTTCGATTTTATGAAAAAAGCATCTTTAATTGGTAGCTCTCAGTTAAGTAATTTTTCGCAAAGATATGCAAATCTTCGAAGCAGCGTGCATGAATAATCGTTTATATGAATGTCATAGCCTTAGTTTCGCTAGTTGAGAAGAAGAAAGAATGTTTTAGACCCTTGCTCAATAAATAAAATATTAATTTCGATGTCAAAAATTATATATCGATATTAATTTTAAGTTAAATTCCCAAAGCAAAACAACATTGACCATTTTCGCTAAATAAATCGAATGGACAACGTATAGGTTAATATAATATACATATGTATAATTTCGAAGCGAGCAATGAATTTTCGTATTCTCGTTATCAATAATTAAATAAATTGTAGTTGTCCGATCGACATCTATCATCAAAGTTTCTATAATATATTTAAGATGTTTTTCCGGCTTTTATTTTGCATATTTGTTTTGCGTCAGCATTTTTATAAAGTTAGCAAACTTTATAAAGTTTGTTTTGCGTGCGTGTCTAAAATTATATTCTTAAACTCGCGCCGATTTCCGTCGATTTCTATTCACTCTTTCATGAAATGACAAAGGATTCATCGGAGAATTTCAAATGAAATATTCGCGCAAAGTTGGACACACACAGGACCATGTTTTCGTAAAAGTAGAAATAAGACCTGAGCTTAATGTATTCTCTCGTAAAACCATGTATAAAACTCCTGTTTGTACCTTACTAGTTTACTATGACGCTATTATAGATTACGTATAGAGGAATTGAAAGTGAAAGAAAAAAAGCGATCGAATAAATAAAATGAGAACAAAAGAGAGCGCGAGAGAAAACGAGCGAGCGAGCGAGCGAAAGGACGAGAAATAAAGAAATAGGGATGTTTAGTGTCCATTCGAAGATCACATTATAAGTCCTTTATTTTTCGCTACAAATCGACGAAAGATTAGTGTTAATATGATTAGTAACGAAAAATGCATATAATTATCGTGCTTTCGCTTCGAAAATGTTTCATAATTCTAATTAGATTGTTTTATGGCGCCGTTTTATGGCCGTTCGGTGAAAGACTATATCAGCAAGGCTGGTGATTAGACTTCGATTAGTTTCCTTTTTTATGTTAAGCATGATAATGACTTAGCAAATGTGTTTTACTCAAAGTGTCCTTCCTATGTAAATTTACTTGTTTGTCCTCATAAATTATAAATAAATAATATCTTTCGTGTTCACGTATCTCCGCAATCTTCTTATTTTTCTTGGAAATAAATGATGGCAACAAAAAGGTATGTAATAAATATTACTTCATATATATTATAAATATTTCTTATTTATAATTAATTTAAAATATTTTGAAATATATGAATTTAAATAATTTGTAAAAATAATTAACAATTTATTTTTAAGTTTTTTAAGAATTATTCTTAAGTTTTTTTATGTATTATTTATATTTTATGAACTTATGATTAAATTTGAAGTTAAATTATTTCATTTCAAATTATGAAAAAAATATAATAATATAATTTCATTTTTAAAAGGAACATAAATAAACAAAATATAAGATATAGTATAATAATAAAAACAAATTTTGATTTATAGTTTTTTTTTCTTTATGCTCTTTTACTTATTAATATACTTTGTACATTTTAACATATGCAATGTATATAAAGTAGGATATGTAACATCTGTTTAATAATACAACAAATTATATCATTTAAATTTTTAATTATTGCATTAAAATTGTATAATTTGCACTTAGTATAACCATTATTATTGCCGTTTAACAATTTCATTATGAAAAACTCAAAGATATAATTTAACAGTAATAATAAAGAAATATATATAAAAAAATAGTATTAAAGATCACGTAAGATTTTTAATAAAGATAATAAGGCAAATATGAAAAAAACAGTTCGCTGCAACATGGTAATATATAAATATTTATATAAATATCATGTACAAAATGCTATATGGCAGCGATATGATTGAAATAAGATAAATCTGAATTAGAATATAAAAAGGAGTAAGTTATATATGTATAGTATATACAGTACCTATTATTATTGTTATAATATATTCAATAAAGCTATGATCATATATTATACAATATCTTGCATATATTTGGTTGAATATTTAATACACAGTAATTTTCATGTTATTGTTGAAAACTGTGTAATATAAGTGAATGCAAAATATTAATGTTAGTAACATTAATCTTGATCATATATCATAAAGCTCAGAATCTCTAATACTGAATAAAATCCACTAAACATTGAAAATTTTGAAAATATAAATAATAATTTTTTTTTTAACAATATCAATAAATTCAATGAATATTTATATAGAATTTATATTACAATCAATTTTATGTTAAATAGAATCTCATTATTTAAGAAACAAATAAAAACCAATTATATTCTATTTTAATTTAAAAAAATCAGTATTACAATTTGAATGTCTTCTTAATTATTTTACTATTATTATAAATGATGATACTACTGTGTATACATATTTATTTCGTATAAGCTTTATTTTATATGTGTAAGTAACATTATTAAAATAACAAAATAACTTTATTGTAATTTAATCATAATAATTACTATAAAATAAAATATCTTTTTCTTACTAAAAAATAATTGCTTATACGTAACAAATAATGAGTATACATAATAATAATGATTAATTTGTTAAATTCAAAATTTCCTATCTTTGGTATATAGGTTAAAAAATTTAAGCAAACAGTTTTGAAATTTTTTTGTTCATATGATAATTTAATGAATAATATATGAAAAAAGATAATTTTTTTGTACTAATTAATTTAATTATTTTTTTTATTATAATTTATGATCGAGTTATATGTTTCTTGTTTTTTTTTTTTTTTTAATATAAATTATAATTATAGATTTCTCAAAAATTGAAATTTTCTCAAAAATTGAAATTTTCTCAAAAAATCTTATAATTAAATCTGTTTATAATTTATCAATTATAAAACAGATTATATGTTATATGTTTTCATTATTAACTATAATAATTCAATGATATATTAATTTAATTTCATTTCACATTAAAAAAATTTGAATTTAATATTAAATACTGTTTGCTTTAAATATAAATATAACTATTTTTAATTATTTTAACTCTTTTAATCATTGGTAATTTCATCATTCATTTTTTTTTTTATACTACATTTTTCTTAAAAAAAAAAATTTATCATATATTTTTGTTCATTATGTATAATATTACACAATGAATTACATTAACTTTTATGTTGATGTAATTAATCTCTGTACATGTATACACAAAATGAAATTTAAGATATATATTTATAATTATTTTAATATTGTAACATATGTATACATGTTAAAATATTAAATAAAAATACGTATATCAATTTGAAAAATTTTAACTACTTATTTTTAGATGTTCAAACTATTCTACGATTTAACATCAACATTATAATAAAAAAAATATGAATTTTGTTTATTCTTTTGATACTGTAATTAAAACAAAATAGTATGTATCACAATTAACATTTGAGATAGATTATTTATCTCTGACTCACTCATTTGTTAAAATATTAGTAGCATTATTACTAATATTTTATTAATAAAGCTTTTTCTATTATATGTTATTAATAACTGATTGCAATATCATATTGAAGTTGATTCAGTATTCAATCCTGTTATCATATTATAGTGTTGTTGTAAACGTTTTAAATTAGCTGTTAAACAGGCATTTTCTATATATAAATCTTTTACTAATATATCAGTTTGTGCCAATCGTTCAGCCTATAAAAAATAATAAAAAAAATTAAAATTTATTTAATTATAAATTCTATATGAATGAAATTATATTATTTAAAATAGTATTAATTACTATTATATTATAATTAATTAATATTATAATATAAATTAATACAAAAATATTTCAAATTTTAAAAAAAGAAATTATATACCTGTTCTGCATTTGTTTGAAATTCTATTTGAAGTCTTTCTTGAGTACTACGAAGAAGACATTGTAATTCTGATATTTCTATTTGATGTTGAGATATAATATCTGAAAAAAACAACAATTTAATATCTTAATATATACTATTTTATATATATATATAAAATTTAAATATTCAATAAATAAAAATCTCAAAAAATAACTAAAATCAAAGTAAAAAAAACCAAAAAATTCTAAAAATTAATAAAGATAGAAAAGTTTTTTAATTATTATAATTACATTTATGTATAATTATTTTAATGAAATTATAAAATAACTCACGTTGTAATACATGCTCAATGTGGTATTGTTGTTGTTTAAAACATTCTTGCAATTGATGCCTTTTACGTTCTTGTACCTGAAGTTTCATGTTTAAATTCTGTAATATATTAATATTTATACAATCTACTTGTGTATCATTTCGCATGCACTGACAATTTGATGTTTTTAACTTTAATGTGTTCTGTACAAAATCATATTCTGTATTGTGAACATTTTCTTCTTTTAAGATTTTTCCATTATTACCTACTATTTTCCATTCTGGTGTTTCAGCTTTAAATACATCATTTACTTTCATAGAATATTGCATTTGTAAATCACAATTGCCACTATCTATGTCATCTTTTTTTAATCGTGGAATAAAATCATTTGATAAAGTTGAAGATTCTAGGATCCCATTATATTTAAATTCTTCAGATAGATTGCGAATATTATCATTACATTGAGTTAATTTTGAAACTGATTCACTGGACGGTTTAACATGAATGAATGAATCATCAGGAACATAATTTGATTGTGTTAATAAAAATGGAAAAATAAATTCATCTGTAACTTGTATAGATACATCAGTCATTATCGGTCGTTTTAAACACTTTATTTTTTCATGTAAATCTTTAATTTCTTTATCTTTTTGAGAAATTTCTTCTTCCATTTGTAGTTTCCATTTTTCAAATTCTTCTTCTAAATCTAAATACTATATAAATAAAATAATGTAAGTGAGCATAATAAATAATATGCAATTCAATTATAATTTAATGAATATTAATATAATTTTTCTGAATATAATATTTAAAGGAAAACTATAATAATTAATAAAATACAAACTATATAATAATAAAATGCAATAGTAAAAATATAGTATAATAGTATAATAAAAATAAATAAAAATATATCTTACTTGTTGTTCTAAATTAAATTTCTCTTCAATTGGAGACAAACGTCCACCATTTTTTATTTTGTCAACTGGACTAATTAATTCTTCATATTCTGCCATTTTAGCTATAAGTTCTGAAAATTTTTCATCACTAATTTTTTGTTCTTGTTCAAAAAGTTGTCTTTCTTCTTCTAATTTAGCAGTCCAATAATCTTCGCATTCTTCATATTCTATTTTAAGCATATCCAAACTTCTTTCTAATTCTGCACATTGTTCAATCAATTGTTTCTTTTCAGCAGCATGAGCAGTTTCAAGTTCTTTGAGCTTTGAATTTAAAAGAATATTTTCAGATGATTCAGTTTTTATTAAACTTGAATTAGCTCTTATATTAATTTCATTATTACTCTTTGTATTAATGTAATTAATAATTGAAACGTCTTTTTCTTTATTTAATTTTGGATTATCTGCATTCGTATATTCTTCTTTACGAGGAGGATAATCTCTAAGACTTAAAACTTTATTTTGCAACGAATTTTTTATATCTTGATTGAAATTATCGACATCATAATTATTATCATTACTGTTGGATGTTATTATTCGTTTCATACAAACAGAATTTTTATGTTTAGGAACAACGAAATCTCTTAAAGATTCACTCGTTCGTTCTTCACATTCTGTTTCTATTTCAGATGCAATACTTTTGACAAATTCAGCTTCTTTAAAAACTTGTGTATTTGAATAGGATTGTAATCTCGTAATCATATCTGATATTTCATCTTTAAATGCACAATTGTCTAAAGTACATTTGTTACTATTAATTAAATATATGTTTTTTAATTGCTTTATAACTATATCTTTAAATTGTTTTAAATCTATCACTTTACAATTTTCATCTTCATTGGAATTACTAGACAGCTATACAATAATAAAGTAAATATAACATTTAATATTTGCTTTTTTAAATTAAATATAAATTATTAATTATTACTTACAGATGTGGAATGTTTTAGAACTACATCTAAATCATCTTCCTCAACTACAAATGTTTCTTTATCTAAAAATATGTTAAATATTAATATATATAATAATATTAAATATTATTATATATTAATATATATTAGAATATAAAGTTAAATGAAAGATATATTAATTTTTCTTCTTACTTTCATTTTCATTTGACTGTGTATTCCTTGTATGAGTTACTATATGAGTACCAGAAAAATTATTTGGTCTGTCAATAATATAACAAAATCAATGTATATTATTATTTTTAATATATATTCTTATATATGTTTAATTTATCTTTTATTTTAAATATTACCTTATATCTTTAATATGACGATCATGCAATTTTAAACTTTCTATTTCTGCTGTTAATTCATCATTTTGATCTTGTAAAAGAACTGCTTCTAATTGTAATTGTTTAATACGATCTACTAAATATATAACTTCCTGTTGATGCTTCACCTCTACATTTTGCGACTAAATAAAATTACTGATTATATATAAACATAAGATTTAGATTCATTTTCTTTTATTTATAATAAAATTATTTAAATACCTCATCATGCTCTGCCGCCAACATTTTTATTTGAGTTATTAATTCATTGTTTGATTGTTTAAATTTTTCAATTTGATTACGAAGATTCTCATTTTCATTTTCTAAAACTTGATTTTCTTGTAATGTACTTACAAACTTATTTCTAATCTCATGATTTTCTTTTTGTAATATTTGTATTTGATCATCTTTTGATTTCAGAATGTTAGCACTCATTTCTCGTTCAGAACTAAGTTGGTTTGATAAATCTTGTATAGTTTCAGAATGACGTTGTTCAATTTGTTTTCGTAAATTTTGAACAATTTCTTCCTGTCGAACATGTTGTTCATCAATTTCTTGAGCAAGAGTATTTGCTCGTTCATTAGCTTCTATAGCATCGATACGAAGTTTCTCTTTTTCACTACTTATATTTTCTATCACAAGGCTAAAAATATAGAAACATTTTCATTAATAAACTACATTTTTATATAAATTGTAATACTTACTTTAAATTATGTAATTCTTCCTGATATAATATGAGAACATCTCGTAATAACATTATATGAGATCGAATTGCAGAATAATCTAATGAATCATTAAAATTTTTTAATTCATCACATAAGGTAGATGTTAAATCTGTTAAAGAAATTTCAGATATTTTAAGACCTCCATCCGTTAATAAAGATGTATTTGTAATATTAGAAAGTTTCCATGTGTCCAGAATAGTATTATTCCTTGTAAAACTATTGTTTAAAATAAGAATAAGAAATTAAATAAAAATTTTGTGAAATAATAATATTATATAAATTGAATTATAACTGTTTATATTCAAAAATAATGCAGTACCTAGTTTTGCGGGAAGTATGTATATCAAAGTTTCGTTTTCTAAAATCCAATTTAGTTAACTCTTTTGTAGAATCATTATTTTTATCTAAAGTTAATTGATCTTCCATTGCTTTATTTTGAAATATAATAAGAAATTCATCTAAACTAATCAATCCATCACAATTTTGATCAAGTTTCTCAAAAATGCACTGTGAAATCTATAAAATAATATTTTGTGATGTAACTTTAAATTCACTTAATATATAAATTATAAAATAAATATTAATATAATATTAATAATAATATACATATAATAATATAATATTATATATAAATAATAATATAATAAAATTATTATAAAAATAATATATATAAATAATTACCTGTTTTGGAAGAGCTGGAATTCCTAAACAGTTAGATATAAAAAAGATTGTTGCAGAATCCACATTTTCTTTTAAATAAATATTTATCTTTTCCCATAAACATTTCAGTCTATTTTCATTTATTGTTATACCTAAAAATTAATAACATATATTTTTATATAAATAAAAATAAATTACAAATACAGAAAGATAATGGATTATCTAAACATTATAATTACCTGTTTTTCCATTTAAAAAATCTACATTAGAATTAGAATTATTAGATGCTAAAGAATTACATTTTTTATTATCTATAATATGTGAATTTATATCATTTTGTAATTCTGTTATATTATCTTTCTCTGTTTGTGTAATTGGATTTTGTGTTTTTCCTAATAAAGTTAATAAAGCAGTTCTAAACTCTTGGAATGATATAGATTGTTTTTCTTGTTCATGTTGTTGGATGCATGATTTTAATTCTTCACTTTGTTCTGCCAAATGTAATTTATGGCATAAACTGAGCCAATTATCCTCTCGTAATTCAGTTTCTCCTTTTGTTAAACAACTTTGAAACACAGCATAAAGCTGTTGTTCATAAGGATCATTATTCTGTTCATCCATGGCATCCTTTCACTGTTTTTTGATATGATATAAAATAAAGTAAATCTATAATATTAATATAATTACATAAAATTATTAAATTAAATTGTTAGATTTTAGGAAAGAAATAATATCAATATTTATAATTCAAATTCTATATAAAGTTTAGAAATTAAGATAAAATAAATTAAAGTGTATTTCTTTATTAATAATCTTCAAAATTATTAAATACTAATTTTCAATTTCTAAAACAAAATTTTATTACTATATAAAATTAATATATAAAATTATATATTTTTTTATTATTTTTAAATATATTTTCAAATAAAAATTTTCAATTTAATTCTTTTTATATTAACAAAAAAATTAATTATTTCTTTTTAAAAATAATTCAATAATTTATGTTATGTATATATAAAATATGTATATATAAAACTTATATAATATATGTTTATTAAATTTATTAATATAAATATTTTCAAAAATATTTTGCCTTAACTTTTTTAACTAAAATGATTAATTATTTATTTTTTATATATACATACAACAATGTATCTATTGTTAATAATTAAAAAGAAATAATTAATATTACAATAATTGCAATAAATAAAATATTCATATTACTTTAATTAATATCATATTACTAAATTAATCAATTTCGTTCATTTAGATTCAGTGAAGTTTTTTTATATTAGGAAAATAAAAAAATATTTTAAACAAAATATATTTAATTAAATATTATATAGGATATGTTAACCTAAAAAATATGTTTAAAATTATTAATTTCTAATATATAACAAATTAGCATATTATAAGTACAAATATATATATTAATAATTTATAAACCATATTAATAATTAAGAAATATATATAATGTTAAATTTTTATTATTTTTAGATTGCGTAATAAATATGTTTCAAAGTAAATTGTTTGCAGCTAGATAACGGTATGTACAAATTTTAAAAAAGTTATTCTAATCAAAAATAAATAAATAACAATTTCAAAATAATAAACTTTGTTGTTATAATTTTTTATTATATGAAAAATTAAACATTTAAATTATAAAATGATTATAACCTACCACTAAATTATAAGTTCGTTTCACAAATCACGCAAACATATTCTGTCTATTTATCTATATGTGTACGCACACACATACAACACACAACACACACACATATATATGAATTGTATATGCCCGCGTGTGTATGTATATAATATAGGTATGTAAATAATCACATCAAAATATATTTTATATTCATATCGTTCTACTTAACTGTAATATTTATATTTTT